CCCTAACAAGGTCATGTCGGTATTTGAAGTCTGAAAGCTCCCTACAATGAATCACGCGTTTCCCAAATGAATCCAAACACACCATATGACAAACAGAACAAATCTCATCAATAGGAAATAAAGGAATTATAAGGCAGTACCTTAAGATAATACAATACTCCATCCGTGACATATGTTGGCCAAACCCATTAATAGGAATAACAATGAGAAAATCTTGAGCATGTGCGACTTACAAACAACCAAAAACTATTTTCCGTCTAATGATCATTGCGAATTTTACATCCACGTCCTTATCAATTCTACTAAAAAGTATATTTCCCAAAATATATTTTGTTTTAGGAGGGACGGTGTGCCAATGTCCTTGCTAGTAAAACTACTAAGATCAAAGTCTAGAATTACAACCCTAAAACCATTCAAAACTATGTCGAAATCTGAGTCTATATTATGTACTAAAATGTCTCTCAATATATGATCTTATAACCTCTAAAATTAGACGATAGAAACCACCATAACATACGAGTCAGCACGGCATATTACAAACTCAATCCTCCAATATAATAATAATCAACAAAACGTTTAAATTGGCTTATACGATTTTACTCAAAACCGTGCTTATTCATTATTATCACCATCTTGCTTGACAACATGTCAGGTCTCCTACCTTCACTATGATCCTCATTCCCTCCAAACCATGGAAGAAACAAGAAAACTAATGAAAGCCGTTCATCAAAACAGCAGCAACCCCAAATTAGCATGGCATCTCTTCAAGCGAATCCTCTCTTCTCCTTCCACTTCCCCTTCATGTCACCATCACATCCCCACCATCACCCGCATTCTCCTCGCCGCCAACATGCACCACGAAATCAACCATCTAACCCAACTCATCACCTCCAACCACCCCAATACCGCCCATCATTCCCTCATTTCAATTCTCCGTATATTAGCCCAATCACCCCACCACATTGATTCGGCCTTTTCCCATTTCAAATCCCTCAGAACCCAATTCCCATCATTTCCTCTTCCTCTTCCACTCTACCACCTCCTCCTCCGTTCAAGCCTCCAAAACAACCGTCCACATTTCGTTACTTCTTTATACACTGACATGATTCAGACTGGTGTTAATCCTCAAACCTACACTTTTAATCTCTTGCTTCAATCCCTTTGTCAGTCTGACGCTCTTGACCATGCACTCCAACTGTTTGATAAAATGTCTGAAAAAGGATGTCAGCCTAATGAGTTCACTGCTGGGATTCTTGTTCGCGGGTTTTGTCGAGCAGGAAAAACAAAAGAGGCTTTGGAGTTTGTTGATAACAAGTTATGTTTTAATGTTAATAGGGTTGTGTTTAACACTCTTGTGTCTAGCTTCTGTAAACAGGATATGAATGATGAGGCTGAGAAATTGGTTGAGAGGATGAGAGAGAAGGCTCTGTTTCCTGATGTTGTTACTTTTAATTCTAGGATATCTGCACTTTGTAGAGCAGGGAAGATTTTCGAGGCGTCCAGGATTTTCAGGGATATGCAGATGGATGGAGAATTGGGACTTCCGAAGCCTAATGTTGTGACTTTTAATTTGATGCTTAAGGGGTTTTGCCACCAAGGGATGATGGAGGAAGCCAGGTCTTTGGTTGAGACCATGAAGAAAGGTGGAAATTTTGTAAATTTGGAAAGTTATAATACGTGGTTGTTGGGTTTGCTTAGAAATGGAAAGTTGTTGGAGGCTCGATCGGTTCTTGATGAAATGGTGGATAATGGTATTGAACCGAATATTTATTCGTATAACATTGTGATGGATGGACTGTGCAGGAACCATATGCTGTTGGATGCCAGAAAGTTGATGGATTTGATGGTGAGTCATGGCGTTTACCCGGATACTGTTACTTACACTACTCTGCTACATGGCTATTGTAGCAAAGGGAAGGTTTTTGAAGCTAAAGCTGTTCTTAATGAAATGATTAGGAAAGACTGTCATCCAAATACTTATACTTGCAACACGTTGTTGAATAGCCTGTGGAAAGAAGGGAGAAAAGTTGAGGCCGAAGAAATGCTGCAAAAGATGAAAGAAAAGAATTATCAGTTAGATACCGTGACCTGCAATATTGTGGTCAGTGGTCTGTGTAGAAATGGAGAATTGGAGAAAGCAAGTGAAGTTGTTAGTGAGATGTGGACTGATGGAACAAATTCCATTAGTAAAGAAAACTCATTTGCTGGCCTAGTTAATTCAGTCCACAATGTACCAACCAGCACGCCTGATGTGATCACTTACACAACCTTGATTAGTGGACTTTGCAAGGTTGGGAGGCTGGAGGAAGCCAAAAAGAAATTTATTGAGATGATGGCGAAAAACCTGCACCCTGATTCTGTGACTTATGATACGTTTGTATTGACTTTTTGTAAGCAAGGGAAGATATCATCGGCTTTACGTGTATTGAAAGATATGGAGAGAAATGGTTGTAGCAAGACTCTTCAAACTTATAATTCACTAATTTCGGGGTTAGGAAGTAAAGGGCAAATATTTGAAATATATGGATTGATGGATGAGATGAGAGAAAGAGGAATACGTCCAGATATTTGCACTTACAATAATATGATTAGTTGTCTCTGTGAAGTAGGGAAAGCAAAGGATGCCACTTCTCTTTTACATGAACTGCTAGATAAGGGCATATCTCCCAATGTATCTTCCTTCAAAATATTGATTAAAGCCTTCTGCAAATCTGGGGATTTTAAAGTAGCCTGTGAACTTTTTGATGTAGCTTTGAGTGTATGTGGCCATAAAGAAGCTTTGTACAGTTTGATGTTCAATGAATTACTTACCGGTGGAAAACTCTCTGACGCAAAGGAGCTATTTGAAGCTTCTTTAGAAAGATCTCTCTTATCAAAGAATTTCATGTATAAAGATTTGATTGACAACCTTTGCAAGAATGAAAGGTTAGATGATGCTCACTTCCTTCTTCAGAAATTGATCGATAAAGGATATGGCTTCGACCACTCATCATTCATACCTGTGATTGATGGCTTAAGTAAAAGGGGAAATAAACAACAAGCTGATGAACTAGCAACGATAATGGAATTGGCTTTAGAAGGTAGCTCTGCAGATAGGACTTATCGAAATGGAAACGTTGTCTTTCGTCGAAAACTACACAAGGATGGTGGAAGTGATTGGCAGGATATAATTAACAGGTATTACCATATGGTAGTAAAGATAATATTTTCATTCCACTTTTGGGGTTCTGTTCTTTTATACGAGATTGTTTGGGTTGTCTTGGATTAATTATTTACGCAATTATGGTTACTAATTCAAAACTCCGCACCATTAATTTCTAAATGTGACTAATAGTTCTCCTTAAACATACTCTGTGTAATTACTTCTTGAACTTATGAGCAGTGACATTTCCAATTACTGAATTTTCTCATAAAATCATGTTAAGCCTACCATGTGATAAAATGCTTGCATCCATTGCTATGCCTTATTTTTTGACAGTTTCTAACTCAACAGGATTGAGAATCTCACATAAACATATATGATTATATTTTTTCAAATTATCTTCATCTTTGAAAGAGTTGCTTTATCGCGAAACATCTAAAATTATCTCTTATTGTTGGAATTTCCGCCTTAATTGCGGTCTGCCCCTAGTCGCCTTAATTGCGGCACTTTGGCTTGCCTTCATTGCAGCCCCTAACACCTTCATTGTGTTAGCATTGAAGGGGTGGATTTAGTCTCACATTGCTTAGAGATATGGCCTGTGTTGTGTTTATAAATGGGGGCAATCCTCACCCTACAAGCTGGTTTTGTAGGGATGAGTTAGGTCCAACCCAAATTCTGAGATGGTATTAGAGTCTATCCTAGATAACTTGTTGGGCTTCCCGCATCGTCCACGCTCTTGGCTCATTGAGGCCCGAGCGTGAAGGGGTGTGTTGGAATTTCCGCCTTAATTGCGGTCCGCCCTTAGTCGCCTTAATTGCGGCACTTTGGCTTGCCTTCATTGGAGCCCCTAATACCTTCATTGTGTTAGCTTTGAAGGGGTGAATTTAGTTCTACATTGCTTAGAGATATGACCTGTGTTGTGTTTATAAGTGGGGGCAATTCTCACCCTACAAGCTGGTTTTGAAGGGATGAGTTAGGCCCAATCCAAATTCTGAGACTTATTATTATTTGCTTCCATTTCAAATATAATATTTCTTTCAAACTAAATACAAAAATGGACCCGGATATTATCTTGGAACTTTGATTATCAAGAGTTCTGTCTATGGCTTTTAAATTAATGCAATTATCATTTGTTTATGCCCCACATATTCTTCAATATTTCCTAATGATTACCTATTACTTGACAGAGATGTTGGCAGTGGAATCGCATTGAAAGTTTTGAAGCGTGTAGAGAAAGGCTGGGGTCAAGGAAGTATATCGAGTTTGCTGCCTCAAAAGAATGATTTTCTTGATTACTAATATGGTAGCAGTTTATATCGGTTTGAGGTTGGAGATACTGAAGACCAACTTGTAAGTAAAGCAAGTTTTAATATTTTATTTACATTCCTTTCAATCCTAAGATAAGCAACACAAATAATAATTCAAAGTCCACCTTATGAGTCCCCCATGAACATTGACCGTAAACTTTTCTCCATCTTGTATGATAATGATAATTTTCATTACAGAAAATTTGTTTGAAAGTTGTTGGTCTGAAAGGAGTTAATCTAAGAAAAGTATTGCATTCAAATGATTGGAAATAATAATTGAATAAAAAATAAAATGGTCATGACTGTATTCTAGGACTTGTCTCGTATGACCCATGACTCTAAAATATTCCAATTGATCGTATTAATATTCCAACTTGTCTGCATGTCTTTATTATTTTTCATGGATGAGATAATGTAGACAACATCACTCTTACCTAAATGACATTACTACCACTGAAAAATATGAAAATATGTAGGTAGGTACTAACTAGGTACAAGCCAACACACTCCAAATTCCTTCCAAATCTAATTTGTATGATCCTAGTTCATAATTAAACTTTAGTTGAAATAAGTTGGAACCATTGGCTTTGGGGATTGTCTAAACATGAAGAATCATAATCATCTATGCAGATGCATTTTCTGGTCACTATCTTGGAAGAATCTGAATCCATTTCCAAGCACAAAAGGGACCCATTCCCATCAGTGGTGGCCAAGTGAAGACCAGTCTTTTAAACAGATTTCCATGAACTTTGCTGCGACAAGCAATGTTCTGAGAGACTTGCAGGAAGTTCTTCACCCTCTGCCTTTATACACAGCAGAATCCATCAACCTTATTGGAGAACCATTTCCCTCAGAACTCCATTGGTTATGACTCTTACAATCACCCAATACAAGTTCATTGTTGCTCTTCACTTGAGCGCACTTACCTGTCAATGGATGGAACATTATATTGGACTTTGACAGGTCTGAACTTGGATCTGCGTAATAAAACCACATAAACACACTTTTTAGGCATATAGTCCTAGTGCATTTGAAAAAGCATATTTATACTTAGGTTTATAGTAGAATATAACCACTTGTGGTTATGGCTGTGTTTGTAAAAGTTTATGAAAATAGCTTTGATGTGCATATAATGTTTTTTTTTTTGTGTGCATATAATGTTTATATAATGTTTATGTGAATGTGATAATGTGAAGTATGCATTTATTTATATGGTATCATATGTACCTTGAACCTTCTTTTGGATAAGTTGGAAATTCGCAGGGAATTTTGGGTGTCTGAAATTTTTCCAATCGTAGTCCATAACAGCATATGGCTCACCAGCCCCAACAGTGCCTTCTCTATAATAGTAGCTTCCACCAAAAGCCAACAAGCTCCAATCCAAGTCAACAGAAGAAGCATAACACACAAAGCATGGCAAGAATTTGTTGTCCACGGAATTGACACCAGTCATGTCATCCAAATTCACTTATGAATAAAGGTACGGGATTGTCACCACTAATGAGAAAACCTGCTTGGTCTTTTAAGCTTTCAATGACAGAGAAATGTACCCAATTCACTGGTAGCAAATTCCACCTATTCAGGTTTCCTAAGAAGGAATAAATATGTGCCTCATATACCGATTTGTTAGTGAAGTTTAGATCAAGGGTCCTCTTCTTCAAGAATCAAAGGTCATTGTCCAAGTTTAACCCTAAAATGACGATTAATAAATCTGGGTTGTGTTTGTGAATCGTTTTTGCTCCTTGGCTTATCTACTTGTACAATGAGGCAAATTTTGGTGTCCACCTCTTAGTTCATTCCGCAAGTCCATGACTATCACCTGTAAGTAAAGAATAGGGTATGCTTACAACATTCGTAACTGTTCTGGACTGGGTCCGCACTTGGTCCAAACATCATACAAGGCTCAATCCAACGATGCTGTAGGAGAAGACCAGCAGGAGTGAATCTGTCTTTGACCATGTCGGACAGTGATTCAACTCCTCGCGCCGAGGATATGTCCTCTGAGGACATCCTCGCCACATGACTGTCGAGGAGGATCAACGACACCCAGGAGGTCCTCGCGAGCACCCTCCTCGTAAAGCAGACACCCAACGTCCCTGAATATCACGGAGTCCTCTTGACCCCAAAAAGACCGCATCCACGTCTCCCTGATAGTTCAGAGCAGTTCATTCAGGATGGAGACCACGTGTTGGTCTCCACTACACACGTATGTCCTAACAGTCTCCATTTTAGGCCTGCTTAACCAGTCCAACACGGGGCCTTGGCCCAGCGCTGAAGGCTATAAATACCATCTTCCTTGAGAGGGTCAGATATTCATTCATTCACTCTTACTATAGTACTTGCACTCTGATTGTTCTCATTCTTACTATGGCATCGGAGTACCTTACAGGTACACCCCCACTTCACTCTCAACAACTGTTGTTCAATTCGAGCTTGTGGGTCAGTGACGATTCCTTTTGATCAGGTACAATTAGTGGTGTCGTCTGTGGGAATCCAACTTCCCCATCTTTCGTTTACCTAAGACCAAAGCAACTTTGTCTCAACCTTCCAATCGTCATGGCAGACCAAGCTAACAACAGTGATCAAAACGTTCATTTCGCCGACGCTGGCAACAACAATAACACTGCCGCTCCTGAGTACGACCTCAGGGATGGAATGACTGCGTCCTCCTCCACTCGCTCGCAGCCTCGCGACAATCCTCCTCGACAAGACTACGAGCCCAGGGTATATCAGTGTTGTACCCCAAAATCCTCCCTCTTCATTTTCAACCTTAATTGGTTTATACTTCATCATCATATGCATACATGCATGTCATTGGGTCTATACTCATGGAATCGGGACATTTTCTTTGTGAAAAGAATTGTGAAAATTGACTATTTCGTTAAGCGGCATTGCGAAGCAGAACTCAGGGTTTTCCGCATTTAAAGGCACTCCACACGTGTTCCAAGCTATTCAATCAACAACCAATCAAGTCATCATATCAAGCTCTCACGTGTCTCAACATGCTTTGAATTATGCAGAAAGTTAAGTGTTTCATTTGATTTGAGACAGTGCATACAAAAATTCAGTATTGTGCGTTTCAAGCTCAGGAATTCATATCTTGAGGTCGGAAAACGGTTTGGGAATGATTCTTCAGTCATTAGAATCGTTTTGAGGTCTTCTTCATTTGACTTGTTCGTGTCGAAGGTTAATTTTGTGAGGAAGATTTTCTAAAGCGCCAAATACCTAGATTATGTTATACTGTAGATTTACCGTTTCACCGATTTTCGGACGCTTAAAAAATTTGTAACTTCTGGCTGGAAAATCATCTTTGAGTGCCTCTTGGAGCATTTGAATCGTCTTGTTATTTCCTTCAAGTTTGGTGTTCGACTCGGAAGTCAACTCATTGAGGAAGATCTCTGAATGTGCGAGTACTTTGAGGTTATACGGTGCAAAAATAGTAAAAATAATGTGCTGAACCGTTGTTTTTCGGATGTTCAAAAATTCATAACTTCCGCCTGGTTCAATGTTTTCAGATGGTTCTTTGGGTGAAAAGTCAGTCTTGATTTTATCTTCGATCCGTATGTTCGGGTCAGGAGCTAGTTCATTGCAGAAGATTTCCAAAAGTACGAATTACTAGAGAAAATTGCACTCGGAATTGGTTTTCTATCGGACTATTTTTTGATATTATAAAAATAGTAACTCTCTCGATTTTTATCGTATCGGGACGATTCTTGAACCGTGAGATCACAAATTTTGTTAGCTTCAATTTTGCTTCAGGGTTTGAGTTCAGATTGTGCTCCGAAGGTTCCAGTTTGTGGCTCGCATCCAAAGTGTGCACAAAAATAAGCTGAAAATTTTAATATAGTGAAATAAATCCACTGTTTCTCGCCATTTGAAAAATCCCAACTTGTTCGATTTTATCGTATCAGGGTGATTCTTTCGGCATGATGTCATAAATTTCATCGCTGACATTTTTGCTTTATGGTTCGTATCCGAATTTTGCACCGAACATCATGAGCTTGTGATTTGTTCGCGCACCTTACACAAAATAAGCTGTAAAATTCCGCACTGTGGATTTTTAGACTGTGTTTCTCGTTGTTCAGGGCTACATAACTTGCTCAATTTTTATCGTAACGAGACAATTCTTTCGGCATCGCGTCACAAATTTCGTCATCAGGGTTTTGTTTCTAGTCGCGAGTCAGGATTTCACACTGATTTTGATGAGCTTGGGGTTTGATCTCACACTATGCACAAAATAAGTTGAAAATTCAAGTTTGGAGTTAAAACTATATATTTTAAATTTCAAATTTCAAACACAATTACACTCACAATTTCACATTTCACATTTCACAAAATCAAACCAAAAACTCTCTCTTTTTCTCTCAACTTCTTCAAACCCTCTCAAGAACACAACTCACAAAAACTCATTAATTTTCTTCTCCTCCATTGAAATTCCGCAAGTGATTTCTCCTCTCCTCCCCGCCTAATCTCCGCGTGCACCACCAGCCTCGTCGTATGCACCACCGGCCGCCGGTCTCCCTCCTTCTGTCGCGCATCCTCCGCCACTGCAATACGCCCTTCCGTCGCGATTTTTCCGGTCATATCCTCCTCCGCGGAGAATTTCGATCAACTTCCACTATTTCTTCAATCCAAGCTTCAATTTCGGTAATTCCTAAATCTTCTCTTGAGTTAATGGCTTATTTGAGATATTTGTTTGGTGAATTGAGTTGAATTGAATTTAATTGAATTGAGTTCATGGCATGTACATAGTGCTGCCCGGTTTTATAATTTTAGTTTCAACTGCATTTTAATTGTTGGTTTATGCACTATTACACCTGCCTTGGTGTTTCTTGGACATGTGCATTGAGTTGTGTCAATTTCAGATTGAATTTTTGTGCGTTTCATGTGTTAACGAAGTTGTTACCCGGGAATGGTAAGTAGTGTTTGCAAGGTGATTTAATTCACGGTTATGGTTTATTTGAGCTTGTCGCTAAGTTTGGTGGCTACCGATATCGTTTTCGGTCATTTTTATTCCGACTTTTCGCGCACTCGTGTATGTGATAAGTTGTTGTTCAGAGTTTCATTTTCACGTTGCAATGCATGTTTGCATATAATTTTTTCATGATTTAATTCCAAATTTAATTGTGATGAGAATACATAACTCCGATTTTGTTTCCTTGTTATTTCTAACATGTTTGTTGATTTGTGCAAGGTACTTTGAGAGCTTTCTATCGTTTAATTAATGTGTTGATTATTCAATCGAAAAGCATGTTATACCACTTTATTTGTGGATTGATTACACTTCTGACGTGTGGCTTATTGATTCTCATGTTATGAGATATATACGCTGCTTGTGTTTTTGTCTGGATGTGTATCTTGTGCAAGTGTACTGTTTGTTGTGCGGACGCGTCTGATGCACATGTCACATGTGATATATCGTGATGCTTATGCCGAGCGTGCGATTTCTGGCCGTTTTGTGTTGTTGAGGCTAGCTTGCGCGAAGTTTTTTTGGAGTTATCATGCTTTTGCTTGCTTGCCACGAGAAGTAGGAATAGAGATACATGGTTTTGGTTTATGTTTCTGCATCATTTACCGCTTTTCTTGCCATGAGAAGTAGGAATAAAGATGCATGATTGAGAGTCCCTACTTTAGGTGGGCAATATGTTTAAAGTCCTCAAGTGAGACAATGTTTGTTCTGTTAAAGTCTTCAAAATGAGGCGATGTTTTTGTTTGTAAAAGACTCCAAAAGGAGCGATTTCTTCTTGTTTGTTTAAAGACCCCAAAAGAAGCATGTTTGCTAAAGTTCTGGAAGTAGGCAATTCTCCTTCCCTTTTAAATTGTGCTTGCTATCGAGTCAATAAAGTGGAGGAGAGCTCGCAATTGGCCCCACGCATTCTAGTCTGTATCGTTCCTAGCTCGAGTCATGCGTTGATGCTTCGGTGTTAGCTCGTGTCGCTCGACGTTGATGCTCTGAGGTGTTACTCGATGCCGGTGCTCGAGCAAATCAAGTGGAAAGAGTTCCTTACTCCCACTTTGAGATCTATTGGACTCATTTGTTTGTTGTTGGCTCGCACCCGATGTTTGTTTTGGCTTCGACTCGATTTTGTGTTCGATTGCACTTATGTTTGTGCTTCTACCTTTACATGATCACTTAGGATTACTTGTTTCGTTTTTGATTCAAGTTGGATATTAGGTTGTAATCTTTGTATGTTCCCTTAGAATTGTCTCATTGTCCATTCAATTTGAACATTAGATTGTAATCTATGCATGCTAATGTAGGTAGAGATTTCCTTTTTTGTTATCTGAACCTTAGGGTCATCATTGTATGATAACATTAGGGATAGAGCTAGATAGTTTCTCTTAGACGTTTTTTTTTTCTTTTTTCTTTTGCATCCTTAAAACTAAAACTTCTTTTTAAAAAAAAAATTCTAAAACACTTAATAAAGGATGACGTAAATCGTATGCAGTTGAGTCTTGTGGGGTAGAGCGGATCTGTTTAGACTGAGCCTCGCTCTATTTTCACTTTCGGACTTTATTACGGTTCAAGTTGCAAATTCTTTCACAATAAAAAGTACAAACCAATACAAATCTTGTTTGTCTTCAGACCTTTTTTCCCTTTAAAACCTTTTTAATAAGGATGTGTTGTTTCAAATTCGAACAACTTGGAAATGCCAAGTGTGCGAGAGGCCGAGCATGAGTCTTTTACAAGCTGCAACGCCAAGCACGAATTGTAATCCTAACCATAAGGATGAGAATGCGATATTATCCATAAAAAACACAAAACAAACGAAAGTATTGAGTTGAACTATGACGCTTTGATTCCTTAGAAGGGATACATAGGCATTTGGTCGCGGGGCCTAGGAGAGCAAAATTTTGTAAACATTCATTTTCCCTGTGTTTCTTTTGCATGCATTATCTCTTTGCATTTTTCATCCTTAGCTCTTAAGCTTTAAATTAGAACACACAATTTGATTAGAACAACAAGAGTGGATCTCGTGGATACCATGGACGTGAGGGGTGCTAATATATTCCCCTTGCGTAATTGACTTTCTTACCCGTATCTCTCGGTTGTAAGCCATTGACTTCACCTCTCTCAAGTTTAGTCAATGTTTACCTTTACCTCGATCGAGTTGTTTGTCACGTTCGGTGAAGAAACCGCGTCCCGATAGGTCAAAGTCTGTTTCTTGGTGATCGACTACCCCTTTCTCTACAACTGCATTCCCGGGAGACCAACACTGACCGAGCTGATCACCGTACCCTCTACGGTGCACTTGAAGATGAAATTTTACACCAAGAGGGACCGGGTCACCACCATCCACAGAGACATCGCAACTGCCAGAAGGTGCTTCAATGCGGCTTCCAAATGGCAGAACATGGTCGACACTGGGGTACAACCTGCCCATAGAATGACCTCCTCGACAACAACAACTCCCTCGGCAGACAAACCTGCTCAAACTGAAGAACAACAAGCTCCCCCAAAGGTCGACTCCATTGAACTCGACACCCGCTTTGCAAAAGTTGAAGTCGAGGTCCCCAATGGCGAACAAGACCCTTTCCGACCTGTATCCGACAGCGAATTCGAATCCATCCTCCTCGGCGAGGATCCAAGTAAAGGTGTGAAGATTGGAGCCGGACTCCCCGACTTGGCGAGGAAGCAACTCAAAGAAGGCATGAGGAAAAATGTTGATTTGTTCGTGTGGAGCACTGTGGAGATGCCTGATAAGTGCAAATTGTAATTATTTTTGTATATATTTTTTATTGCACTTATCGACCTTTTGTTTGTAATATTGTTGAATAAATCCGACTTTTGTGTAAATATGTTTAGTTTGTGTTTATTTTTGTTTTTTGTGTACATAGTGTACCGTTTGGTGTTTTTTCCATTTGTTTTGTAGGTATTTATTGCATTTTGGAGCATTGAGGAATAATGTGTCGAAGGCATGACTTCGAATGCACATTTTTAGAATAAAATATCAGTTTTGGGACTTGCTGTCCAGGAGAGCCCGCTTAGTGCGCAGAAGGCCGCTAAGCGCGAGTGGCGCTCAACGTAATTTGTAGCGCACTGTTGCGTTTTACTGTTTTGGCACAACCAAAGTTTCGAAGCCCGCTTAGCGCGGATAGCGCGCTTAGCACGATTTAAGTCAGTTTAATTTGTAAATAACGTGCAACCCGCTTAGCGCACTAAGGCCACTTAGCGCGCGCTGCTGAGATTTGTTTTATATTTTCATTTTCAGTCACTTTTTGGGGATGATTTTGGGGAACTTTTTACTCTCAACTCCATTAACCTCATTTTTATAGTGGATTAACTTAGATAACAACTATAGAGCTTGCATACGGATGATCCGGGGTGGATTGCTCTTTGATCGACGTTGACAAACCGTTAGATCTACAGTTCATTTCTCTTCCTCTTTGTGTATTCTCTAATGGTTGGGTTTGTACATGTATTTTCTTTGAACTAATGTATATTTGTCGCTCTTGGCGATATATAAAACTTGCTTTATGAATCTTTGTGGATTGTTGTCTTGGATTTTTGTTCTGTGCTTAGGGATTTGAGTTGTTATAGACATATACTGTTTAGATTCTTATCTATGATGATTATCTGTTAGTTTCTGAACTCTAGAGATAGATTAAGAGCTGACATCTACTTGGGTATCAAAGCTTAATGCATCTGTTTGATTGTGTTGCTCTGAGAGATCGTCGACACGGGCGAGCACAATTTACTTCTGTGTTGCCGAGGTGGTTGAGAGATCACTACGAAGGTGATGCAATCGGCCTCTCAATTGGGTTAGAAATGACTTAGGTTGTGAGTGATACGTAGTGACATCGATGACTATTGCTAGGTTGAGTATAACAGGTCGATATGTTTAAGTCAGTGAGAAGTAGTACATATGCATGCCTGATAAGTTATTCCTTAGGTTTTTCTTTTGTTTACATTCATTTTCTGTTAATAACATTTTTTTTACAAACCCATTTAACCCCAAACTCATTAACGATAAAATTTGTCGAACAACGAAATCAATAACCAATCTCAGTGGACACGATACGATATAACCTAAATATCACCTGGTAAATTAATAACTTACTTTTTGTTTGCCGCTATACCGCAACACCAAAATAGCGCTGTTGTCGGGGATTGGTTCTATTGTTTTCGCATTGCGATAATTCTTTTGTTTTTGAGTTTTGTAATTAATGTATATGTTTTATAGTAATTATATATTAACTTGTATGTGATACTTGTGCATATATGTGTTTTTCTTCGTTTTCACGTATTTTTGTAAATTGTCTCATTTTTGTAACGTTTGTTGTGTGGATGTTAGAACACTTTCTTTAGGTTTGCACGATTTGAAAATACCATTGCATGAGGAGAGGAGATTATTATTCTCACAATAAAGGCGTCGAATTTACGACGTAAAACAAATATGTTGCATTGTTTTTATTTGTATTCGTTTTTGTTATGTGTTGACTTGTGTTTTAACAAGTTGAACTCGGATTAGTTTTTAAAGTTCAAATTTTCACTTTCAACTTGTTAAATACACTTTCAATTTGTGTTTCGTTATGTAAAATTGTGTTTTTTCGCAAGCTTGTCGTGTTTAGCTTGTGGAAGT